GGCCAGGAGCCCCTAGTAGCGTCCTTGCTCCTAGTAGCGATGCCAGGAGCCCCTAGTAGCGTCCTTGCTCCTAGTGTGCCCAGGATCTGTCAATCTGTACTTAGACTTGTCTCCTCTCTTCTATCTCTCTTTTCGTCAATACCACTTGCACCGAATCCTCAAGGTCTTGCTCTTCAAAGGTTGAGTTTGTCAGTGGAGCAATTGGCCTATCTAGCTCTCGCTCACCCTTCAGGGCCTGAAACACACCAATGGCTACGGTGATTGATGACTTCAAAGCAGAAGGCAAAGCCCCTTGCACCTGAGCCACCAGCAAAAGACCAGTGATGTCATTCGGAAATATATATATAGTTCTCTATATATATATAGTTTTATATAACTCAGCAAATGTAAATTACAAAGGCAAACAACTGTGAGGGAACTGCAAACGGGACTACAATATCAAACATGCAGGTCGAGCTATCAAAGATTTCAGGTGAATCATGCATACAGCTCATCAGCAGGGAAAGTTGACACAGGACCACTTCCCAAATCCATCCGTATGTTATAGTTATCAGTACGGGGCCTGTGGCCAACAAAGTAAGAGCCTGTTTGCAGCACACTAGGCAGCAGACGCGGTCAACAGCTCCACTGGCTGCAAGAAGAGCAAAGAGAACTGCCTGCATGGACCAGCGATTCAAGCCGTCGAAAACTTCAAAGCACAAACTTGTCTGGCACGAACTGCCTACTTTGAAGTCATGTAATCCCATTTGGATCCTTTAACATGCTTTGACTACCCTTGATTCTCCTTATGGGAACGCTTATTGCACCACATCGATCGCATCGTGCCTGAATAAAGCAAGCCGCCAAGGCCCCCTCAGGCCCAAGGCCAAGTCTGTCGATGATGCCATACCGCAAGTATGAGTTCCTGGCAGTCACGGATGGCACTTGACCCGTCCCCAGGTGCAGGTCCCTTGTTCACTCCATGAAAGTCATGTCAATTCGTTTAGAGCTGACTGAGGTGACCTAAACATGACGGTGACACAGCCCCATGCCAGCTGCCAGTCCAAAAGGCAGGTTTGCTGCAAGTCCTGAAAAATCTCATCCGCTCCAACCACGCAGCCCACCAAACACATAAACACACACGGTGCGGTTGTACGATACAAACCACCAGCAGCTGCTCCCTTCTGATTCTGATAACACGATTGGTCCTACAAATCCGGATGCGAAGGCTGCTGACCTCGATGGTTAAGGGCATGTACTGCTGTGGAAAGAAGGCAGGAAGGCTTTTGGCTATTGAATTGTCTTGAGCAGAAGGCAAGCATGTGGCTCTGCAAGCTGCATGGAAGGAGATTGGAGAGCCTCGAAAAGCGAATTTGTTCAGCCACTTCCAGCTCGTCATTGCAATTCTTTGAACTTCCAGATCCAATTCGGGAGATGTATGTTTTTGGCTCATCTTCTACCCAAGTGGCTCCCATCTGCAAATTTGGCACTGAGAATGATGGGATTCACAACAACGATATAACTCATCGTCACCTCAGTCTCTTGGTTCAAAGTAGTAGAGAAGAAAGGCAAGAGAAGATGCACGTATTCAAACACGATTCGGAGGACCTAGGAGACCTGCCCAAGTAACTAAGCCTGCTCGGATTTCTTGGCCTCATCAAAAACATTGGCACGCTTTTCTTGTTGCCGGTCTAAAGTAAGCTTCCAACTGACACTACTGCCTCTTTCCGTCACTGTGAAAGCAACCTCAAAAGGTCACTTGCTTACCCAGGTGCAATGTGTACTCCATTGATTGGAAACCTGTGTGAACCTGTGTGAACAATGACATGGAACCTACTCCGTTCCAAGGAGGTTCCAAGGGCATGGCATCCAAATAAGATGCAATGGCTTGGAGAGGAGTCTGGACTGGCCTGTTCAGGCAATCTCTGTGTCACATCGCAGCATCACAGCATCTCCACACCTTTTGGCTTTAGCACAAGGTTCCACCCGGTGCCTATGCTTCACATAATATGCAGACGGTTCCGTCTGAAGAATGCTTCAAATCCAAACACTCTTCAAGAATGCTTCAAATCCAATTCTTAAGTCAAAGGCAAGGAAAGCAGGGGCTCATGATGCTCACCCATGGCGAGAATGAGCCCGGGCCTAAGCACACGGACTGTTTTACATGACACCTTATTGAAGCGCACGACCCGGACATGAAAAGCACCTCTGAGAACATGTCTTCAAAAAATCTATGAGCTTCAAGCATTGAGGATTGGTTCTACATACCGATGACCTACTCAGCACCTGCCTAAATCAGCACCGACGCTTCAAGGTATACAAGACTTTCAGTTCAACCCACCAAGCTCAAACTAGGCTGCTGGCTTCACAAGGCTCACCCCGCTTTCCAAAGCTTCGCTGGAGCCAACAAGTCGACCAATCATCAGAAACGAACAAAACCACCTTGTGAAAGTGAGACAAAACAAAAGCAAAAGGTGTACTAATTGCATCACGTGAGTCATATGCATTCTTTGAAGGTTTCTCCTTGAGAGCTTCTGAAGGTCAAAGCTTCAACACACCAAGGAAGTGCGCACCAAAGCAACCGATGCGACTACATCGAGCCTCAGGCATCCAAAACCATGTCACATGTCTATGAAACTGCATGTCTACGGCTACGGCAATAACCAGGCAGTTAGCTGAGCTCAATGCAAGAGGCATGTCACAAACTCACCTGTCTGGGGTGGGAGGGCAGCATTCCCCACCTGGCCAGCTTGTACAGCGGACCTGCTACCATTTCACTTATGCGTGGAAGCATTTCAATGCCTTCGGTGGTGAGCGCCCGCAAGCAGCAACCGCAGCAACGTAGGCAATGGCAGCTACGAAGTAAACAAAATTCTGCCACAAGTACCTCAAAAGTCGCACCGTAACAAGAAGCTAGTAGAAACAAGTGCCACGCTACTAGGAACAGGT